ATTTATGCCTCTAATCTAGAAAGCTCTAGTGTATTCTTCCTTTTATAGTCAGGGTAGAGTTCCTTGACTATTTTGCAAGTCTTTATATCCGATGCAAACCAATTTCTTTTTGAGCTACTCTGAGGGGCGGGCGCACTGGGTTGCCCTGTCGGATTCCTCCAAGTAGGCTCCTGCCTTCGCCATTTTATTCGTCATCTCATTGCCTTCAATGTTGCTATGTGCAGGAAGCCAGAAAACTTGTACTTTGTTGTACTAAAATTTAATGGGTTACAAAACTGCTTACCCGAAATTTTAATTAAAACAATATTAGCTTATGCACTGCAGGACATGTTTTTTTTTTTAAATTTTTATAAAATTTTAAAATCGGATTTACACTTAGAACATGCTACATTTTTATAAAAATTTATAACAAACAAAATTATGACAAACAAAAGGAAAACTGTACATACTGAGGATAAAATGGGTATGCTAATCTAATGACTGGGAGTGTAGAGAGTTATATGTGCGTATATATGTACATATGTATCATTAGTCCATCGACAAGTATCGGAAGGAAAACAACAAACATTGCTATAGAAAGCGTCCGATAATTCTTAAAGAACAGAAAATTCGTAAATCTTGTCGCGAAGTTGCGATATCGATAAGAAAATTGTCGATAGGTGGTTTTTGGGATTTTTATTTTTTGATAAATATCTATTTTTTCGATTATACTAAAACCGCTATTCTCATATTTAATTTTTTACGTCAAAAATAATTCAAAGCGGCTATAAGAAAGACGCATATTAAAACGTTCTCATTATATGTAAATACATAACTACTAACATAAGTATGTACATATTTTCATTCGAGTGTTTATTGCACTTAATAAGCAATTTCTCAAGTACCTCTGAACTCATTCGCCAACGAGCACTCATTTTCCTCTCCATTACTTTCTCAACTGTTTTCCTACGTTACAATTTCATTGCGTCTTCATTTTTGTAAAAACAACAAACACAGCAAAATGTAAAGATTCAATTCAATAAATATTTATTTAGGCTACAATTATGTTTAAAGAACACAATAAGGAAATGAATTAAAGAAAGGAAAGTGAAATGAAATTGAAAAAATATGCAAAATATTTCTTGCCGCCTCCCTTAGACGATCCACCAGCGAGGTAAGATTCCTATCGGTAAATATGTACGATATGCTGGAAATTTATATGTACATTCAAAGATATTATGCATAGCTGTAAACCAATAGAAACGCTTGATTGTGCGTATCTACAGGCGCATTTGTATATATATAAATACCCTGCAGGGAAAGCTACCAGTTGTGAACCAGAATGCTACCAGTTTGCGTTTCAGCCGAACTAGTTCACGTTGTATCCTTTTTCAATGTTAGCGAATGGTATTTTTAACATGGCGGTGTCATAGGAGATGTCAATTGTCCGCTCCTGCATCAGCACGCTACCAGTAGAAATACTACTAGCATCATACCAGTTGACGGGATAGACTGCATATTCATCCCCGTGAAAAGCATAAGTATGTCATTTTGCTCGCGGCGCTGCAACAGTGGCAATGGTCGACAGAGTAAAGCTTTGGCACGCCAAATCAAGAGATCCGAGTTCGAATCTCAGTGAGTGAATCTTTTTTTATTTTTGTTTATTTTTTTATTTATATCTCTTGTGTAATTTTTAAATTTATTGTTTTAAAAAGAACAAAATATTATTTATTTTGATTTTTTTATGGTATTTGAGTATTTAGGTTTTTTCCAAATCAAATTAAATTTATGTACAATTTTTATTTTATATTTAAATTGAAATAATTATTTAAATTAATTTACTTTACCAACCTCCACGCGTACTCGAACCTGAGATCTCAGAACCAGAATCGGTAGTCTTCACTCGACGCCACAGCCGACATTTGTGATGAAAGCAATTAACCACGTTTTAATTTTGGTTATGCCTATTCAAAGACAGATGTCGCCGATCGCATAAGTTGTTCGAAATCGCCGAAATGGTAGGCCGTCGCTTTATCACATACTGGTTAATGAACTAGTATTTATACTGGCTGGTTTGGCATTTCACTGCAGAGAACTGGTATAATTATAGTCCATGACGAACTGGTATGACTCTTCCATTTAATACCAGTTTCCGAACTAGAATTTCTACCAACTAGTTTACTTTTTTCTGCGCGGAACTGGTATAATTATGGTTCATAACGAACTGGTATGACTTTTATCCTTAAATAATAGTTCATGAACTGGAATTTGTGCATACTGGTTTAGCTTTTCACTGCAGGGTATGTACAAAAATTGGTTGGGCGCGTACTTCTACGCTTCAGCGCCACATTTAATTAAGCGTAACCCATGTTGGAAGCTTATTGCTGCCCCACTATCCTACCACTATCCTACCACTTTATGCTTATCAGCAATTCCTTTAGCATTTAGCAGCAACAATGCGACGACCAAAGAACAAATCGACTGTAAAACTTGCCTCCCCAACAACTACCTCCTCCTTCTTAGACGTATACATATCAGGTAAAATAAGAGCAGGATAATGATGGAGCTAACGAGCGATGTGGAGGCGGAAGCTGTTTGTGATAGGCATTTAAATGCATTTCTATTCATTTGAAACGTTTAACTACTAGTCATTTACTCACTACTAGCGACTCGAGATGGGCACGGGACTAAATATTCAATCCCGATCCAGCCCATCCCGAAGATAAAAATTTGTAAGTCCCGAACCCGGCCATACCGCCGTTTCTCCAAATTGTACCGCGGATCCAGTGGGTCCCGAAATCTATTACTAAGACAAATTCACATGTCCTTTAAATTAATTTCAAGTATCTAATAAAGAAGATTATAAAAGATCTGGCAACGATATTTTTTTCTATTCTGTTCGTTTTCGTCTCAATAAAATATAAAAAAGTATAAGCACTTACTTTACCTACAAAGTGTTTAAGGAAGACTTTTTCGGTAGTGTCGGGAAAGGATTTTGCTCCCATTCCGCACGCAAAATTTTTTGAAGACCGTTCCGATACGGCCCGTCCCGTCTATTTTGAAATCAATAACGTGGGTGCCGCGGTTCGCGTTATCCCGCGCCCATCTCTACTAGCGACTGTAGACTGGTGTTTACTATCGCTGCTGCTACTGCTGCCACTAACACTGCCTCTACTGCCGCCAGCAGACAGCATTTGGCGTTAATTATGCGCCAACTTGCAACAGTTACGCAAAGTGAAGGTTTAAAAGGGATTATGCCAAATGAAGCATCCAGGCATGTACACGTACATACATACATACATATGTATTGATGCAGTACTTTCACCACTGTGTGTATGTGTATATTTTTGCGTGAGTAGGCGTTACCCTAACCCAGCCAGGTGCGTAAATATGCCGCTTAATTACTTAGTGGGTGGTTATTATCCAACTCAGCGCTAGTGATTGTTTATGTGTCTGTGTCTAAGCTACAAACAAACACTTGCCATCAATCAATCAAGCATTTCACGTCTAATGAACGAAGTAGCGATCAACTTATGCATACAAAATAGGCACTGTAAGTGAAATGTGTAGCTCAAAGAAGGAGTATTAAGCGAAGCGAAACAACGTCAAAGTTACCGTCGATAAGTAAATGAAAATGTCAAGAGTGCTATTCGCTAACAGATCATTTTAAAGACTGCGCTGCGATTTGCAAAAGCTCGTATTTTTTTTTTATGGCCTACTAAAGTTTTCATGTCTCGCCCTAAGAGTCGAAAAATTGTTAAAATAAATTCTGAGCGAAATTAAAGGTTAAGGCAGACACAGTAACAAAAAATCTATGCCAAGAAAGAATAACAGCCAAACTAAATTTTATATTTTTTTTTGTAAAAAGCTATTTTTTTGTTGATTTTTTATTCTAATTTTTTAGGGACTTTTACATTGGTGGCATGAAGCTTTTGCCTAAGAAGACCCCAGTAAAACTTTCCCAAGAATAATTTTCTAGAATATATCAATCTTTTAACGAACTTCCAAATTTGCTTTTTGCGGGGTTTCTTGAATTAAGGGTCTTAGTTAGCGACCCGTTCATGCGCGAGCTAGTTGAATAAAAAAATAATAATAATCGAAAAAAAATATATATACAAATTCTTAAAAATTAAATGAAACTCAAAAAATGTTTTTCTTAAAATAATGTAGTTGAAACATTAAAAGAAAATTAAATAAAAATAAAATTAAAAATAAAATAATTAAGTTCCTAAAAATTACATTAAGAGCCGGCTTCACTAGCAATTTTGAGTGAAAAAAAAAGATTTTAATTTTTTGAATTTAATATGGAAATTGAAAGAAAATAAAAAGTCGGCTTCCATTTAAATGGCTAGTGAAGCCGGCTGTTAATGTAATTTTTAGGAACTTAATTATTTGATTTTTATAACAATAAACAAAAAAATAAAAATAAAATATAAACAAAAACAAAAAAAAATTAAAAAACCTAAAAATTAAATTAAATAAAAAAATTATTTTCGTTTTAAAATAATCAAATCTAAAAATAAATTAAAAAGAAAATAATAGAAATAGGAGAATGTACGTAAGTTTGCATACATTGATAGCAATTAAAAATAAATACACATAGTTTTTTCTTTTAAAACAATAAAATCTAAAAATTAAATGAAAATTTAACTACAAAAAAAATAAAAAAAGAGTCAGCGCGAAAAAAATTATATAAAAGTGTTTTATGTCAAAAGAGCTTTTCACCATGAAAGTTGGCAAATAAGCTTGTTTTGTAAGACTTTCGTGCCAGAATAAACCAAATCTTTCAAACTATCTTGCCTACTGTCTTTCAGTTGTTTCACAAAAGACTTTCAACTATCTTTGCCAGAATTTCCCGATTTATAACTAAACATTATTTAGGTTCTTAAATGTAAATTTTACCTAACAGGAAATACTTTTCGGGTATCCTTCATGGGTATCCTTTTAGATAAACTCCACCTGACACCTTTCACACACTGCAATTAAACTTGATTTCCTCTTTTTGCTTCTACCATTCGCAGACAATATTTGGCAAACGGAACTCGATTTTATTGCGGTGAATCGACGTAATATGGTTGTGCTCTCAGTAGTTACCGCTCCCTACCAAAATGGAACGGGCGACGGCGGCTACAACGGCAATGGCAATAGCTTAGACGACGACTCGGAAGAAGCCTACTATAACGATACAATGTTTACTGCCGTCACCAGCGGGGAATTGACAGCAACTAATTTGAACAACAATATGCTCAACGTATTGACGAGTTCAACGCAGTGGAGGCCAGCTTCGGATATGGAAAATCACAAAGAGACTGGCAGAGGCAAGGGTAGCAACAATGTTGGAGTGGATTTTATGGATGGCGGAAAGACAAGATATTTCGAAATGCACGATTTAATTAATCGGGGCAGCAATAAAGAGCCAGAGAAAGACGACGCAGCAAATAACGGTGATGATATCGATGTAGACGATGACGAAGATGATGATATAAGTGATGTTGCAGACCATAAAGACAACAAACAGTATACGTTTAAGGAAGAAGTAGACATTTATGATGGCGGAGGAACTGGACCCGGCAGTGTTGACATTGACGGTGAAAGTGACGGCGGAGGACGCATCTTTGTTGAGCATTTCGATACAAAGGAATTGTGGACAGACAAACCTGTCAACATGTTGCCGCAAACGACAACCGCAAAAGCAGCAACAACACCAAGCGCAAGTAAGGCAATGAATGAACTGGACGACAATAACAACAAAAACTACGACAAGATGTGGGACAAATTGGGCACGCTCGACAGGGGAAATAGTTTGGCAACTGGTGATTCGGATATTGATGAGAAGGAAGCTGCGACAACTACTATAACGACAACAACAACTAAGCAGTCAAGTACGAGTACAAGCAGCATGCGACCCAAAACAACAACTACAACTACGACAGCAACAACAGCAACAGCAAGAGCAAACGAACTTGACTATTCAACAGGACGTGCGGCTGCTGTGGCGACAACTACAACCGCTGGCGCAATAACGACAACAACAACTACAACTAGCGGAAGCAATACAAATTATGCGGGTAAGGCGACTCAACGCACAAGCACAACAAAATCGACACCGACTGCGGTAAGTGCAAGTGACAATAGCGCAGAGGCTAAAGATGTAGAGGGATCGACCGTTGCTGCGCGCTCCACCACAACTTCAGCCACACCTGTGGTGCATACGCAACCCACACGCGCACACAATCACCATCACCATCATCATCATAATCAGCAATATAACAATCATCAACACAGTCATCAGCAACATAAAGAGCAGTCACCACATACACCGCGTAAGCATCACGGCCACAATCGACAACATCACCGACAACGCGGCCATCGTCGCCACCACAGCAACTCAGCTGCCAATGCAGGTGGTGCTGGCGTTGCTGCTGCTGGTGGCGGCCATTCAGACGAGTCAACCGCATCGCGCTCCTCCCGCCTTGATGTGGGCCGCGCCGCCGCCGACTTGCGCCCGTCCAACGCTTTGGGCACCAACATGAAGGTTAGAGTTAATATCGATTTAAATCGGCTCGATGAGTTGGATTTGTCTGCTGGGTCAAGCTTTGAGCAGTCTGCAGTTTTGCCACGTGCACGAAACCGCGATTCTGCAGCCGCTTTGGCAGCGGATGCGCTCGATTACGACGCACGACGCATCAACGCTAATTCAACGTCCACCATTAGTACGACGACACGTGACAGCAACATACATATCGTTAAGCCCGAGATGCTGCCAGAGATTATACCGTCCACGCCGTTAACAAGCAATTCAAAAATTATCGAAATCAAAACGAAGAGCAGCGGTGTGGGTGGCGGCGTGAAACGCTCTAAGCGCATGGCACAGGAAGAAATGCAGGTGGAAATCGAACCGGAGTACATGGTGGGTGAGTTGTCAGCCAACGATTCAAGCGAGTACATAGCACCCGCTGCCGCTGCGGGCTCCACGGGTTCGATGGCAACAGCATCGTCCTCATCTTCGGCCGCTAATAGCATCTCAACCGCACAGCAATCACCACAAACGAATCTGGTGCGTCTCGATGGGTTCGCCGGCATGCTACAAATATTCTTTGGCATCGAAAAGCCTATCGATATGGCTGTGTTCGCACACCCACCTAGCGCCGAATTCGTGAATCTAGTGTTTGCGTTGCTCGTTTGGTGTGTACGCTATCCGGCTGTCTTTTGGACGACAACCAAGTCATTTGCCACCATTTTCAGCATACAAATGATTGCTGTCGCGTTAGATATCATATTTAGCTACATTGGCGCCGCCAATCTATACAAATTGCAGGTGTACAGTCAGGCGATGCCCATCCAAAACCCCGGCCTCATTTTGAATGGTGTCGTAACGTTGGCGCTGTTCTTGCTGTCGTCGGTGTTGATGATTGCATCATCGATGATTATGTACTTGTACGGGCACGGCCGATTGGCGGCAAAAATGCGTGATCGCTCATTAATCACGATGAAATCGAGTGATACGTGGATTTATTTTGCGCACTGTGCTTCACTCTGTTACGTGCTGGCGTTGGCCGTGGTGAAGGCGCCTCTGTTGAACGACCTCAGCGCCACGTACAGGAATAATTTACACTGTCCTACGTTTCTATCAGGTAAGTTGAATGAGTGTGGATAGTAGTTGTTGTTTGATTTATTTTATAGATAGCATATATATTTCATCATTTGTGGAAATTCGTACTCGAGTGTATGTATATGTTGGTGCTAGGCCATGTTCCAGCTTTCACAACAAAAATACATAAGTACACATCAGATTTTTTTTTTCTAGGTTTGAAAATTTTCCTTTGAAAAATTCCTTGTGGGGCTAAGGAGTGCTTTTGTTTACCTTGTTGGTATTTCCAGGATGAGGAATTAAGCCTGTCTGTTATCTTCCGTTTTTGCTTGTCCCGAACTTGTTCAGAAATGATCTCGAACAAGTCTGGAAACGGGTCTGAAATAGTCCATTATTAGTTTCAAAATGTTCCCGAACCAGTTCCGAAATGCTGATGAAATAGTCCTAAACTAGTCCCTAAATGGTCTTGAAGTAGTTGTGAACTATCCCGTAATGGGCCACAATTAGTCCTGAACTAGACACGAAAGGGTACTAAAGTAGTCGCGAAATGAACCCCAAATATTCCTGAACTCGTCCCGAAGTGGCCTTGAAATAGGCGTTAACTATTCTCGAAATAGCTCCGAAAGCATCCTGAAATAATTCTGTGTAGGGCCTGATATGATCCAGAACTAGTCCTGAAATCGTCCTAAACAGTCCTTGATATGGATTTGAACTTGTCTCTAAATGATTCCGAACTATCCCCAAAATGGTCCCCAATAGTAATTTTTACACATAAGAAGGAATTACAGATTTTCTGCCGAGTTAATGCAAATTTTACCCATACCGCTAAGGCGTTTACACATCAGAGAAGGCCATTGAGTGATTTAGCTCTGCAGTATGAGATTAAAGAAGCCGCACCAGAGGCCGTCACCTTTCCTAAAAAGGAGTTGAAGACATCGATGTTTCTGGCCTAGCGTCATGAATGTGTGCCAGTGTGGTCAGTGGAAATACACAGAAAATCGTGAATAAGATCAATGAACGTTACGCATTTCTGTCAACTCCCAGTAAAGCAACCCTAAGTCTTATTTATGTGGTAAAGAAAATTGAATGGTCTTAACTCTCCTCTGCGTAGAGACATAGATCTGGAATACTAACGGCGTAGTTAAAAGGTCTAGCGGTACTTCTAGATAGGAAGCTAACGTGGAAAACTCAAGTCGAGCTGCAGGTAAATCGAGCACTTAAAGTTTTCATATAGAGTCGGAAGACCTTTAGTAAGACTTTGGGTCTGATACCGACTGTGGTACTTAGTCAAAAGCATGGTGTCTGCCCTTAACAGACAACAGCGTGATGGCAACAATGTCAAAATCGGCTCTTAACGCTTTGTTGGGTCTGTGATCATGGATTTAGCAAACCGATAGGAAGCAGAAAATTCGAAAATCGAAGTGCCCATGTAAGCAAATTGTTTACACGGTTATTATGACAATATCCCTTTTTTAGCTCAAATGACAAACCGATTTCCACTGGAGCCACTTTTGCAAGAAAGTGGCTATGTTGCTTAGCTTCCTGCAAAAGAAAAGTTTATAGATCCAAATACTCTTTTGAGGGCTTCGGTAAAAGCCTTCTATACAAACAGTTCTAAGACTGAAAATGAATCTAAACTGGTTGGAATTTGATGCGCAGCTTCAAATGAATGAGCAGTTTCTCCTCAGCTGACCAGCGCACAGTGGTCTAAAACTGAAATTTTAGCTTCATAATTAGGCTACAGGCCACAGATATTGACCGAGTTTAATTTTTTTATATTTTTTTTCAAATGAAATTTGATGAGATTTGGAAGAGATTTGTTTAGCCCAATTTTCTAAATTGTATTAGCTTATATCAACTTTTTTAGTGCAAAATGCGAAGAAAGTACCAAATTTTGAAGAAAATCGATTTATCGTTCCTGCTAATGAATGTTACATAACAAATACTAATTATAAAGCTCGCTAAAACGAAAAAAAAATGCCAAAGAACAATGTTAAATGTTATCAAAAGTTTTTCACCAAACGGATTTTTTTTTTTTTAATTTTACAAAAATTTTGGGTATGCATTTTTATAGCCCATTCAACTTTAGTGCAAGTGCAAGTTTCAACGTGATTTCTTATAGTAAACTAGGTGAAGGCCCTGTTTATCCGATTGTAAAAATTCGATATTCGAAAATTTTAAATAAAAAAACGCCTCAAAATATTCAAAAACCAGTGGAAACGAATTTAGAAAAATCGAGTCAATCACCCTAATATTTACTCCATGTTTTAAAACGCGTAATTGTAAAAACCGAAAAATTTTTCAACTTCCTTCATAATCCATTTTTAGTTGATTTGATTAAAGGTATTCTTAAATTATTTAGACATCAACTTCTTTTCCTACAAATACATTTGTACGCATATACATATGTATGTCTGTATGCACTATATAAGCGAAGTGTACTATATTAAACAGGGAAATAGGAAAAAAGCGGGCACTTGAACTCGTTGACGAACCATCAAATCCAATTAGCAGCACAAAACCTGAATGAAATAAAAGTGCAAGATAGGAAAAACAGGCGAGAAAATCACAAAAAAGGGAGTAGAAGTATCAAAAAAAAAAAAACAGAAAACAGAAACTAATCGCAATTAAAATGAAATCGCATTAGCAAAAGCTAGCAAATAATACATAGTACTCGTACAATCGAATAGCACTTAAGCCGCTCACATAGACAACAATGCTTGTAGTAGATCAACGCGAAATTGAAGAAGAAGAAACAATGGAGAAGAGTAGAGATAAAGCGATTGTATGTAGAAGCAGGATGCTCAACAGTTAAAGTGCTCAATCAGTGCTGGCGAATACTTAAGAACAGTGAAGGCCAGTTGCAAAAGAGCGCACTTTAGTTCAATGGCATTAGAGGAAATATTCTGTCAGAAATGTTAAAATGCAAGGCGCCATGACACACTACATCATTTACTCACCTTTTATTGCTAACTAATACCAATTTAAGCTTGAAATTGAAATTTTACTTGCATGCATACACCTTACCACATTCTACAATTGTAATAATAAACCTTTTGTTTTGTTTCTTTCCACTTTTTCTATATCCTTTCTCCCCTACAGCTCTCGTCAGCGTCGCACATCTCTTGCTGTGGATTGTTATTTGGTTGGGTTTGACAGCCAAACGTCGTTGGACATTCAAATTGCCACCAATGGATGCCTATGGCATTACCAAAGCGACCACCCAACCGCTATTGATGGCAAATCGTAGTAGTTTGCCCAGCGCTGGAAGTGTTAGTGGCAGTGGCAGCAATATTGGCAGCTCGGAGCTAAAGAGCTCATCTTTAATGAGTGGTACTACTGGTGGCGGTGGCGGTGGCGGTGGCGGTGGTGGTAATAGTGGCCGCGGTGGCAAATTGAGCACTGAATCCAGCACTGATGGTGGCAACGATGATGTGTATTGGCCAAAATTAACGCCAAGCTCACCGAAATTGAAGGTCACCTTCAATGAAGTACCGAGTACGTCTGATGATGTTCTACTAATTGGTGACCAAGAACAAAACGATGGCAAGCGGTAAAAAATCGTTTTCTTTTAAATTACAAAAAAAAAAAAAAAACAATTAAAAACGAATGAAACTACAAAATACTACTTACAAACAAAAAAATAAAAATAAAAAATATCACACACAAGTTATGAAATGCACTTGCAAACCATTTGTTTAGTTTCGAAATTACAAACATAGTTTTGCTTAGATCGCACACACCTTTTTAATGCTCGCTCAATTGCTCAAAAGTGGGACGTTCAAGTGCTCTCGAGTTTTTGAAAAGTTTATGATTTAAACGACTACATACATATTTACACTTTATTAGGTGGATTCATCAATTTCATTGGTTATGAACGACAACTCAGTTTGAAATGGAGCTCTAGAGCTCCTTTTAGCAACCCCTTTTAGATTTCTATCTCCAAAAAAAAAACGAGATTCTCGAAGAATACTTAAACTTATAATAGTCTCAAAAAATCCCGAAAAGGCCATAAAATTCTATAAATGGTTCATCGACATTTTCGTACCCTTGTTTTATCCTGTAAAAGCGTAAGTTGTTTAGTCGAGTACAACAAACCGCGCCGGTCAATTTTCTTCTGCGTAAACTGAAATACCAAGTGAAGACAAAGCCTTCACCACCGGGTCCCTCCTTCCCAGAGAATATTCGCCTTCTCCTCTGCCGCTGAATTTCAATTCGATGTCGTGGTACGATTGAGGCCTTCAGATGCGTATGTCTGTTTAAGTATTTCACAATGAGGCCGGATTTATTTATTTTGGAGCCTCGTGTTGCACACTAATATTCGGATGAATCGTCTTATAAGCTGAAACCGTGCCCCAAAAATTCCATCCTTTCCCATCCTGGCAATGAAATATTTAATCACGATTTTAATATCGTTAAGGAGGCACTATCCTTTGCCTGACTAAGGCCAAGTTGTATTGCGATTAGAAATTCTGACCCTGCGGTCATAACTATTCGGTGCCCTCTTCTTTGTATTGTGTGCGCAAAAGGCAATGAGAAGGCAACATTTTTCGGTAGTAAAGAAAACGCCATTAGATACCCAGAGGGTAACCTAATATCAATACATTTCAATAGATTCTTCCGAAGTACCGATATGCCTAGTCTGTCGAAGGCTCTTTATCGCTGCCCAGTACTTACTGCGTTCTGAGGATACCCACTCAACAAACCACACAACAGAGTATCGCAATCGCTCGATGAGTGGATCATAAAGTTCCTTAATGGAATGCTATTGGCCCTATGGCTGCCAGTTTTATATAACGATTCTACAGAAATTGTAAGGACAACGAAGAGGTGGAGTCCGCTAAGGGCTTTCGGAGCGGTTGTCTCGCTTTGCACCATTTTTTTAGATGACCCGAACTTGTTACCCACCTTAGCAACCTAGAGTCTGTCTGGATTATGTAATCTCAGTACAACCTTTTACCCGAAACCGCAACTTCAAATAGGTAGAAGTGATCGTCATTATATAGCTATAAAACTTAATATAGTACAGGGTTTGCTAGACCACCCGTCCATCCCTTCTAAACTGAAGGAAAATGTTTTCTATGTATTGAAAAACGCAAAAATATGTACTAAGAAGTCGGGCATGCTCTAGCTTTTGGTCGTATTACCAACTTCCGGTTTCGAACGGAAGCTGGTTAAACCGTCCAGAAGTCCATTTTTTTTTAAATAGGACATACATGTTTTTACCACAGCTTCAGATGCTGGAGCTTGTCGCAAGCTTTTCTCAAGAATAAACTTCCGGCTAAAAGAACGGACTTCCGGTCGAAATCAGTAATACTACCAAAAGATAGAGCATGCCCGACTTGGTAGTTCATATTTTTTGTTTTCCAGTAAAGACATTTTCGTCCATTTTTGAAGTTCAGAACGAGTTGAATTCAAAAGCCATTTAGAGGTTGAAAATGGCAGTATTTAGGAAAAAGTTTCAAATAAATGCTAATAATTCTTATGTTCCCCTAAAAAAATGCACTTCCGGTCAGTTTAACCCACTTTCGGTTGCGTCGGCACTACGTTACGGTTAGTTCACATTTCTGCGTTTTACCATAAAAAGAAAATTTCCTCCATTTTATATCAAAAGGGTGGTCACCCTGTTAAAACTTCATACATAGACCAACAATGAATTTTCAAATATTTTGGTGTATTCTCACGTCAATATTGCTACCCACCGTAAAATAAATACGGAAGAGATTAATTTTTTAATATTTCGCGAAAAAATCAGCTGCGAATTGACAAAAGATGATTTTTTAGACTATGAACTGTTATCTAGAATCCTATGCCAGCGGTTTCGGGGCTTAACTTTAATAATAACCTGAGGCTGTATCAAGAGCACTGTACAATTTAGGCGCCTTTTCAAACCACTTATGAGCAAAGTAAGGCTGAGATATTCCAATTTTAAGTTAGCAAAAAAATATGTTGCTGCGTTAGTAACAAACAGTTAAATGTTTATGTTTTCATTAAAACTAAATAAATATAAACCACAATTTGTTTTTTCTTACTTTTTCATACATATATTATTATTGAAATTTCCACAACACAACCAACAATAAATTTTGAATCATTGCACGTTACCGATTTTTTCGTTAATTCACTAATATTTAACTGCATCTGTTATTTATTTTTTTTCAGCTTAAATGTTTTTGTTTTTTTTTCATTTTTCTATCCTAAGCCCAAAGCACACTTATTTATGCATTGAATGTGTTATTATTTGAAACGTGACATTTTGTTTTCATTTTTTTGTCCTTTAAAGTTGCGTTTAACTTTATTTAATTTAACTCGTTTTTTGAAAAGCGAAATTTTATTAAAGTTATTTGCGCGCTCAACAGTTTTTCACTTATCATTCAAATCTTTTACATGCAGCACATTCACAATTTAATTAATTAAAAAACCAATTTCGGTGTTTTGTTTTTTTTTGTGAAATTTTTGCCATTCTCTCGCACTTTTTCGAAACATTTAATTCGTTTGGCGTACATACATAAGTAACGGGAAAAAAAACATACAAACTTACATACATACATACACACATTTATGCATTTGAAATTTGACTGTATGTACGTATGATGAATACACTCAGACAGACAGATACAGTTATTGTATGTAAAAGTATTGGTCGTATTGAAAATAAGAAACTATTTTTGTTCCGCTTGTCGCCTGTTTTTAATTAAAAATTTTATATACGATTTTTATTTTAATCATTTCGTTTCGTTCATAGTATTACGTAAATATGTATGTATGGAACTTAGTATTTTTTTTGGTATGTACATATGTATGTAACTAATATGTTACTAACAAAATTACAAATGTATTGTATGGTTTGTAGTTAATAACTAAATATATATAGTTACAATTTATTTATGTATCTAAATGTTCAACTAACATATTGTTGTTTGATAGATTTAGAAACTAAATAGTTTTAAATATCTACTAGTAAAATATGTATGTATTTTCATATGTTGTTATGGACACATGTGGCAGCAGCAAAATGATTTAGATTGAAACTAACAAATTTTTACGAGCAATGAAAGGAGGTTTTAGCTTTTTTTTTTTTTGGATTTATAAACATATGTATGTTTATTTAAAAACATATGTATGTATGTGTACTGCATAAATGCGTATCAGAACACGTTTAGACCATTTACTTTTTAATTATTTAATTTTAATAAAATACAAAAGCCAATAGTTTCAAACTGTGTACAAAAAAAATATATACATATATCAACAAAGTTTCAATGAAATTTCAAAACAAACCCCTGGAAATGGGAGTGGCAGTTTTAGGACTAAAAATAACAAAATGCAAAATTTATTGTAGATTTCGGCAAAATATCTCTTCTTCAACAACATTTGTTCCGCAACTTATTTTTGAAATCGTAGAATCTTCTTGAAATGGGTGTGGCAATTTAAGGGTCAAAGTTAATAAGTTTTGATTTTGTTGTGTATTTCGGCAGAATATATTCGCAAAAATAGGGGCAAAAAATAGTTAAAGTACGTTTTTAGTTTTCCTTTCTGACGTCGGGATTTTTCTTAAAAAGACTTTGAAATTTAAAAAAATATGATTAATTCTAAAAATTATTTTAAAAACTCAGTGCAATGTAGAAGAAACATTATGTTACACTGAATTTTTTGAAATAACTTTTTGAAATTTGAATGTCCTTTTAAAAAATTCCTGAACAGAAGGTTTTGTAAAATAAATCAAAATAATCAGATTATAGCAGAAAAATAATTGCTCTTTCAAAAGGGGATGGTTTTGAATTCTTATGACAATTTTGAAAAAATTAAAAAATTAAACCTTGACTATATAAAGAGCAAGTTTGGTGATACCAATGAGAATTCATACAAGGTGGTTGCGGTGGTACCAAAACAAAAGCTAACATATATTTTGTTTTTGCTTTCGGTACACAAATGTCAAATTTAAGCTATTCTTCACTGAAGAAGGAATAGGGAAAGAAAATGCCATTACTTTCGCACTCACTCATAAGGAGTTGCGACTATGTGTACCGAGACGAATCAAAGCAGCTGTTCTAGAAATACCACTTTATATGAATTCGCCTGGGGAGATACTAAAAAATCCCATTTATTTTAGATTTCTTATTTTTTTTTTGCATTTTAGGGTGCATCGCTTTCCATACAAACGAATCGGTACTGTTTCTATCGGAATTATAAAATTTGTTATATTTAAAGACTTAAAGACTATTTCTTAAAATTTGAAAATACCTTCAAAAAAGAGTTTTTATGAATAAAACTAGTTTAGAAAATATTATTTGCAAAAAATCCCTTCACATAAGAAAAAAGTTTAAGCTTAGAAGGCCTGCATAAAAATTTTTAAACATTTTACTAAAATAATGAGACTTTTTGGGGTATTTTCAAATAGGTGTAGCTAAATCTTAATATTTGTCCGAAATATTTTGCGGAAGTCTTAAAATAACTATAATAAATTTTATGATTCCTGTGGAAAACCCGCAACTTTTTTGATGAGGCACCCTAATCTATATAAATTCAGTGGTGAAAAAATAAATAGGGAAGAAAAATGTAAGCATTCTTTGGCTATTTCCCTTTTGCTTATTTAATGTTTGTTATTTGTTTATGAAAGTGTAACTAGTTGTCCAACAAAAACCTTGTAAGTCAAATTTTCATACTTTGTACAAAAATTTGCAAAATTCGACAAAGTGTCATCAACCATTCAATTTTAGTTAGTATAATAAAGTGCTGATTTTAGGTAGCTAGGACTTACCGTTGATTTTTGACATTTTTTTTTGTGTACAAGGGGATGCACATTTTCTCCATACAAAAAAAAAAATGTCGAATGGAAGAAAATACGTGAAAAAAATTGCAAAAAATCAACGGTAAGCCCTAGCTACTTCAAACCTGCGTTTTATTTTATTGAAACTTAATGGACTACAAAACTGAGTACCCAAAATTAAAAAAAAAAAAATCCAATTAATAAGTTAAAATTTTTATGAACATTTGTTAAAATCAGGCACCGAGAACGCGTTTCACTTTTGGTTTAGTTCTACATGAGAACAAAATATATTAACAAGAACGTTCCCTCAAAAGAACCAAATGGAATCAAAAGTAGTATGAACAATGTTTTCGGAAACGTTTCCGTAAAGAGCAAGAAGCGAACAAAACTCCCGGGAACGTTCTCAAGAAGAACAAAATTTCGGGAGCTTTTCCAATGAGAACGGAAATTTTGGGGAACTTAACTTTAATCATGAGAGGTCTGCGTGTTGAGACGGAAAATCGTTTCAGTGGATCAACAATTGGTAATTCTGAGCCAGAGGAAATCTGTATCATTTTAACTTCCAGATCGTTTATCGTTAGGGTGAATTGTCAAATTTTTAATTTTCTGAGGAACAAAAGTTCGTGTCTTAAGTTTTTCGTTGACTTAATTTGCATAGCTTCAGTTCTTTTCTGATTAATATGTATATTCAAACATTTCAAACTAATGAACGCTATGTGAAAAAGTTTTGTTCTCGCTTCCATTCTCATCGAATAGTTCAGCGAAGATTTGTTCACGTTTTGTTCTCTGTCAAAAGCTCCTGAGACTTTAGTTGCTATTCCAGAGAAAGTTCCTAAGACTTTTGTTCCCGTTTAGTTCTTTTCCAAAATCTTCTGGAAAGTATTGTTCGCATTTTGTTCTCTTTGGGAACGTTCCACAGGGTTTTGTTCCTACATAATTCTCATTGATAACATTCCCGATAGTTTTGTTCTCATTTTGGTTTTGGTTTTGAAACATTCTTGGGAACAAGACTACGAGAACGACATTTAGTTTCGATCATACCTTTTGTTATCAGTCGCTGGTTAAAATTCGTCGAATTTTTACAAATATTCCAAAATCTATATTTTCATAAAAAAAAAATAAAAACCCCTTTTTTAAACAAATAAAAATAGCCAAAACGTGGTAAACGAGACCTTCCATATTAACATTTTCACCACTGTATGTTCGAAAATTTTTTCATATGGCGGCATATGCAAAACACCGCCAGCAGAAAACTTTTCATAAATCAACGATTGCGGCGCCAGTGATGAAGAAGAAGAAGTTTTAAAGATGTAATATCCATGGCGAAGCATGCTAGTTTAATAATTATAATATATTTTCATTGGCTGATATAACAAATATTCGTACAAATATAAATAAGTAAGGAAACCCAACTTTTGTCAAAGATAAATTACCAGTGTTAATGCATCAACTTATGTGCAGTCATTGTATTGAGTTCACTAGCCTTTTACTTGCAATTTATTATTTGCTAATTATAATTACGAGTACTGTGCCCTTTAATATTCTTATTAATCAAAGTCAACGTCATTGTCGACGTCAAAGTCAAGGTATGGAAATAACAAAAGGACTAACCAAGTTAATGGAAAGAAAAACAGAATATGTTCGTATGTCATACTTGAACATTAGACCGTACCAGAAAAAAATTCGCCGTACATCCGTGAGTGAGAATTATTTTGGCAAGGCAACTTTGAAATAAAATATACATATATGTGACGCCGCACGAAGAAACACACCTTAGCGTCCCAAAATTCAATTTTCAATTTTTCATACATATTTGTAATTTTCGAGTTGATCTGTAAAAAACAAAACAACTAAAAAAAAATTTAAAACAACTGCTTTTCAATTTTACAAACCGATCTGAGCCAAAAAGCTACAGGTAAAATCATGCAACCTTTTCTTTCGGCGGCCCATCCTAATATCAAATTAATAAAGAAAAACTTTTCTAGGCACAAGCTTTGATATTCAAGACGCTAATGTATTTCTATGCCGCACATTAGGGTGTATCATACTCCATAATAAAAAAAACGGTACTGTTTTTCTATCTTGTATTATACTATCTATTATACTTTAAGACTTTCACTAAAATATTTCGGAAAAGTATTAAGATTTACGTAAGCAGAGCCGATTTCAAAATGCCTCCAAAAATCCCATTATGTATTTTAGTTCCTACGATAAAATGTTCAAAGATTTTTATGCAAACCTTTTAAGCTTAAGCTTCTATGCCATCTGAGGGTATTTTTTGGAAACAAATATTTTTTTATAATAACTTTATTTTTGGAGGTATTTTCAAATCGGCCCAGCTCACGTAAATCTTAATCAACCTTATACTGAGTTTCACCCGAGAAAAAAGTTCACCCAAAAATTGTTGATCCACCCATAGTAAATACATGGAAACCAAAACTGAAAAGTGAACCGGTTCGAGGAAAATGAAGCTCATGATAAGGGTGAATATTTTTTCGAAATATTTAAACGTAATTAATTTTATAATACCGGTAGTAAAACCGCAACTTTTTTTTAGTGATGCACGCTAATGTACGAACATATGTTTCTTTGCAATAGTTTTTAATAAACAAGCAAACATACCTATATGTACATATACATATGTGACACTATCAACTTTTGCTGCTGCCACTGTGAATCACATTCGTCATTCATAGCCTTTTAAGTACATATACATATGTACATGCATACTTATGTATGCACCTAGGTATATCCTTATGAATGAACGTAACATTAGTTAGGACATAACCTTTGCACTAATAAATTATGAAAACATGTTCTCTTTCTTTTTTTCCTACTTTACCTCGCATTTAACCTTGTCGCTCTATCCATCGTCGGTCGTCGTCGTCCTTGTCGTCTAACAACTTACCCATTTGTAAATATGAAATATGCAGCCATTCGTGCCGTGGAACCGCGATATGTTTTGCCAGTGTTGCGGGGGAAATTGACGACGGAGAATATGCGACATTAAGAACTGCCAGCGCTGCCACCACCATGGCAGGCATCAACATGACCAGTATGAGCAGCATGGTGTTGAGCAACAAAGGCACCACCAACCAAAACAAAATCGACCCCGTCATGACGATCGGCTGTGGCAATGAGACGCATGTCAGCGGCACAACTCCCACCGGCATGCATGGCATGAAACTTTTACATCTGAGCGAATATGATGAGTTGCCACCGCCACCGCCACAATTAATGCCAACAACTACGAGTGGCCAACACTGTGCGGCAGCAGCTCGAAGTGACTATGTTAATTGCGCTGGCGCTGGCAATGGTGCTGCTGGCACTGGCAGCTTTGGTGATGACAGCACCTCGGAGGAGGGCAAACTCTTGGCTTGTGTGCATGATGACAGGGTGACGTATGCATCGACACGCGACTTGGAACCGCCAGCAGCAACAACGCCACCTCTTCCACCACCGCCAATGCATCACACAGCAATAGGTGGCGGTGGCGGTGGCGGCGGCGGCGGCGGCGGCAAGCAGCAGTCAATAGCCGGTAATGCACATATCAACTCGGCTGGTATTAATGGTGCAACGAGTATGGCAATGAGCAGTGGTAGCGGCGGTGTTAGTGGTTCTACTGCTGCAGCTATGGTTGGTCGTGCGCCACAAGCTATACCAGAGAATATGCAATTGTCTTCGTCGCCGGAGCATCTAGTCAGCCCATTGGCACCGGTGACGGTCACAGTGCACACCAACGAGGCGCATGTGAGTATTCTTCTATAGCATTTTTTTTTTTTTAATGTATGTACGTAGAACTGAATTCTTATTTCTTGAATGAATTTTATGGAATAAATTATATATACATTAGGGCGGGTCGATTTTTTTTTAGCACAGAAGCTGGAACAGTTTTGTCTTGTTTGACCCGCAATTCACGACGAATAACCTCGTGTTACGTACCTTGGCTGGTTGACTTATAGGTCTTATTTTTTGTCTTTTTCAAAATTGTCGAAACGTTCGAAACCTTTTCGGTAAGTTTAGGACTATTTCGGGATTTTCGAGACTACTTCGAGCTTTTTAGGATTTTCGTGATTGTCGGATCTATTTCTGGATCCCCGAGACTCTTTCGAGATTTCCGAGACTTTTTCGGCGTTTTCGGGACTAATTTTTTTCTAAGATTCTAGGGACTATTTCGGGTTTTTCGAGACTAAATCTGTATATCGATAAATATGTACATTAGAGTGGTCCAAAAACATTTTTTCCCAGATAGGGGCACCTTCCAAAATTTTTCCTCTTGCCACACGTCTTGCCGAAAGACGTGTTGGTATCAAACCTTACGTTTCTAGGTATAAATTTAGAGAATGCTCATATTTTACTCCAAAAGTATAGTGTACATATATTAATCAAACAATTGGTTAAGTAATCTAAGAACATTTAAAATTTAAATTATGTATTTAAAAAAATATCACAAGCTTCAGTTGTCATGGCAACAGTCGCTTTTTATAAAAATCACCAATATTTTTGCCAGTTTCACAGCGATACAGTAGCGCATTTGAAGGTCATTGAGCAGCCTGTATTGGTTGCAGTAGAAAACTGAAAGTTGGTATAGATATTACAAATATCGAAAGGAAAAAACCAAGGGGAAGTCCCGTTTTCTAGGATGAATTTTTTTCCCCCATTCAAAAATTGGACCACTCTAATGTACATATATGTATGAATAAATTAGATATCGATATATGTTTGATAAATATATCGATAAATATATAGATTGAAAAATCGATAAATACAATGAAATATAAAAAATCTTGAAATAGGCCGAAGAATACCGAAATAGTCTCGAGAATTCCGAAATAGTATTCCGCCAAAATCCACAAGAAAATCTAAGATAAAACTTTGGTTCTCTTAATTTCCACGTGCATTTCTAGAAGATTCTGCGATTTAAAAAAAAAGTTGCTGAAGAAATGTTGTTACGTAGAGATATTCTACCGAAAACCCAATCAAATGTGTTTTTTTTTTTTTTTTAATTTAGTCATGGTCACGCCCATTTCAAGGGTTTTGTCGCCTAAAAATTTTCCCAAAAAAAAAGTTTTTTTCCTAGATAAATATTCTACCGCAATCAGCAAATAAATTTACATTTTTGTAAGAACACGTTGGTATATAAAAGACTACTTTTTGTGGAGCTGAAATATTTTTGAAATCAATACATTAATTTAGCTAGCGTTGAGATAAATTATTTTATCCAAGCCACAATTGCATTTCCCAACGAAAAACTTTTCTATTTATATTTAATTTGCGTATTTCCGTGTATTTGTGTGAGGAAGTCCGCAAGAAAATTGTAATTACCACGCTAAATGCAGCTGTTTATTGCCTTGGGGTGCCGGTGCATGTTAATCACTTACCGCTCTATCACAGCACACTACACTGCAGTGAGCAAACCCAACAAGCTTTATGCAATTTGCTCCATCTTTGCTGTGTGCACAAACAGCCACAGATTCGATTAGGCATCGATTAGTCATACGCATACATACATATTTACAAACATCCATACATACATACATGCACTAACAACGAAATCAAGCAACATAAATTCCTTGCATCTGCCCTTACATACCAGGGTGTATATACTTACATATCTATATGATATATATGTATGTTGTTAGCAGCAAATTCCAGCAATTATTGCTGTCTCTTGCGTGTTTGGGCAACAAATCAATGTTGCAACGATTTAATTGAAATCAAATCTCTTTGGTAATAAATGAATGCATCGGACATAGACATAAACATAGACAAGAAGCAGCAACATTATGCTATGTCTTTGATCGTTGGCTATGTATGTGCTCGTTGTTGTTGTTGGAGCATTAATTTGTTGTAGTTGTAATTGTATTGCTAGAGCTACTCCATCACTGTGACTGTGGCTGCTGTGATTTATGCGCATCGAGCGTGTTGCACGGCCCCCCACAAAGACAAATGCAATAAATCCTTCAGCCAGTCGGCTGCTTCCGCTGCTGACTACTCTGGTCATTTGCCTGTCGAATGTATGTAAATCGTTTGCGTTGACCCTATGCTTGTTGACTATTTTCTTTTTCTTTGCATTAATATTACATACGAATTTGCTTGCATGCGAGAATTGTTTATTACGATTTCGGTTTCAGTTGTTATTTTCCTCTGCCATACTTGTGGCTGTTGTTCGTGTCCAAGTGTCAGTTTATGGGCTTAAAATTGTCAGCGCCACCAGACGTTCAACACATTCATTGCAGGCTTCGTGCTCCACGCCTCCCGCCCACCATGCAAATATGTGTGTCCTTTGCAATCATCGGTTGTCGGCTGGACACTTCCTCGCTTCCGTTGCGAAAGTTATGTCCATATGGATATGTTTGTGCAATTTATAATTGATGGACTTGTTGCAGATATAGACATATAAATGTTGTAAATTTTATAATTACCGGCACTTTAGTAAAATTTATCGTAATAAAAAAATTATTTTGCTTCTTTACTCGTAGCTTTAAATAAAAGCTATTGAATGTAAAGTAAATTTAATTTTTGTACGTGGGTAACGCAGCTCCCGTGAAAAGGCTTCGCTTATGCTCAGAGACAGTCACATAAAGGTTTCTCTCGAAGAGATATACATACATACAAATGCGCGCATTATTTTGTTTGGCAGCTTAGATCTATCTTTAATTTTGAGAAATAAATCTCCTCCACTGAGATTAACCTCAGAGACTTATTTGTAATGGTTGCTGGTTTTCGGTTATTAAGTGAGAGAAATAATATTGTGTACTAGCGAGCACCTGGGTACAGGTACCCGGATAGCGGGTTATATTTAGCCGGGCGCGGGTAGTGGGTTAACTTTCTATGGGTACTTGGCTATGGGGTTATCTTTATCCGAGTACCCGGGTAGGCAGTTATCTTTATCCGGGTACCTAATCCGCTATATGTGCCACATTCCCTGGGTAGGGGGTTATCCCGAATACCCGGGTAGGCGTAGATTTTATCTGTGTACTTGGTTAGCATGTTATTCTTATCCGAGAAACCGGGTTAATATATGTAATCCGGGTAAGTGGGTAACGGGTTATGTTTAACGCGATATCCGCTTAAAGGATAATATTTATTCGGTTGCCTAGGTAGCGGGTTATTTTTAGCCAGGCACCCGGGTAGGAGGTGGTTTTTATTCGGGTACCCGGGTAGTGGGATTGTTTTTATTAGGATAGGGAATAATCTTGATCCGGCTAGTGAAATGCAAAACCTCCAAGAATAATAGATTAAGGATCAAGTGCAAGTGAAGTTGTGCTTACAACCGAGGGAGATTTATTTTTATTTCTCATTTATATTCCTCCTTGACTGAGAAAAATTTTTGTTTCGCATTGCTAAAATTTTCTCACTGAGAGCAACCACTAAAGCATTTTTAAAAAGGTGGCGGTTAATATCCGACCAATACTGTATTTCTCCTTCAATAAGTGTTATTATGCGAGCATTTAAATTGGTTAATAGTTATCTTCAAGCTCTGATCTCTAGGCAATAGGGCTAACGAGTATTGGGAACTTAATTTCTCCATTTACCCATATTATGCGATTTTACGTTTTCCAAATCATAGTCGCGTTGGCGCCATAGCCGAATAAATTGAGGTGCGCATTGCCCCTTGGCAGTCCAGAGTTCGATTTTTGCTAAACATAGTATTTTTTTTCTAATAATTTGTAAGCTAACACATGTAGTTGCCATGCCATGAAAAAGCTTCTCATAAAACCATCTGTCGTTCATAGGCAACAACATAAAACTGTATCGCCCTTACATCCATCATAGGATTTACGATCTAGAGCTCCGAGATTTGCGCACAAAACATTTGTACACCATAAATGCCTTCTTTGCCTTCTTCTACATACATACTTCACCTCGCTGGCTCTACACACTCTATTTCCATTTCGGATGACTACTGAGTCTGGGTCACGCAGGTATATTAAAAAAAAAATTACATCGCGTTTCTTCTACGGTCTCCATCTCTACACCATCATCGCCGCTACTAAGGCAGAAGTTATTTACAGGAAAGCCCATCCGTCCACTGAGCGTCCGCATTAGTTAACGCTACACAAATCGAGCGAAGATCGAGAGACATTATAGAAACTTTACCAGATCTGCCTTGTTAGCTAACACGTTATGTTCCTCTATGCATTATTCATTCGGCATTTCATAGGAAACGGACCAGAGTCAGTTCTTAATGAAGACAGAAACATACCAGAACTTTATTGATGGTTCAGTTCAAATTAGACCACCATTAAACTGCTATTCTGAATTTAATTATTGCTTTAATTTCCCTTTGTTTCATATTTTTCACATTTCTTCCGCTTCTTTCCAGATCGCCTCCAGCTCTACGCCGCGCTGCCTGCGTCGTGCCGACTCGGGTGTGCCCAACGAAGCGCTAACGCCGCGCAGCGACACCACCTCCACCACAGAGAGCACCACTTCGCCGCCAGAGCGCGCTCCGTCCGAATCGTCGAGCGGTGTGCACTCGGGCGAGGAGCGGGACGTGGAGGTGGTCATTCGACCACGTGCCGCATGCAAGCCACCACCCAAGCCGCCACAGCCGGCCATTCAAGAGGAGCCCTACGGTCGCTGCACCAACATGCGCATGTCCAGTTTTGGCGGTGATGTTGCCACCGCAGGTGGTGGTGCTGCTGGGGGCCGCGCACACAACAGCGCCACCCTGCCACTGACACGTTCAGCACCCGAACAAAAATTCGATTACGCCAATCATTGTAGCACAATGCCGCTACCGGCAGCTTATCATAGTCAACAGCAGGCGGCAGTAGCTGTACGCGGTAGTGGCAACTATGGCATGACCACATCAGCATACTCGATGCATTCACAGCCACCGTTGCCGCCGCCACCGCTCAACAGTGGTCTGAGTAGTTTTCGTGCACAATATGCCAATTCGTCGGTAGCGATGGCGGGTGCTAATGCGGCGCGCATGCAACAGCAACTGCTAAACGAACAGCAGCAATACTCACAGCCACAGTCAACATCACCACCACCACCGCCACCACCCGCCGGTATGCATACGACACTGCCGAATGGTGTACGCTACTCGAATCCGCATTTCCTGCGTCGCTTGCCGCACGTCACCAAGGCGGCTGAATCGCCATATGGGCATTTGGGACTTGGCGCCGGCCATCACACTTTCTCCAAGCTGCTGCAGGATCCACTACAGCACAGCCTAGTCAATACAACTATACCCGAAGATCGCGACTCGGCCAACTATTCCATGTCCTCCGAACATGATGGCGGTAATTTATATGCGACAGCACAGACATACAACTGAGCGGAAGGCTAAGTGGGGAAAATGAAAAGCGAAGGTGGCATAATAGCTTAACAGCTGCAGCTCAACTGGGAATGTCATGAAACGTAAACACAAACGAGGAAGCAAAAATTTGTAATTGAAAGGTATCAAGTGCAAAAAAAAAGTAAAAAGTGGTAGTAAAAGTTAATTAAGTATTGCGACATTGTATTGGTTGAAAATTCGTGAAAAATATGAGAAGAAAGAAAGTGAAAATATAAGGTGAAAAATATAAAGTATTCGAAATGATTTGTAGGCGCCACGCAGAGAGGAGTTAAAAGTGTATGCATTTAAATACCTTGACTTAATTTGAATATTTTCAACTTAAAGTCCTTACAGTTCCATAGTAATTTTTTCAGTGACCTTCTAACAAGTTTTCGACCAGCAACATACATACATAAGTAAGTAGTATGTGTCTACTTATTAGACTGAAAAGATTATCCCCACAAGTAAACGGGTAGTAGCTAATGTGGAAAACTATAAAGCCGAAACGACTTGTTGCAGAATAAAGACTTAATAACATTTTTCATATCAAACTTTGTGGAGTATTTCCGGATCAATCGGGTCTAGTTCACGACTATATCAGGGCGCTTTTAGGCCTAGTTCTGGACCTTTTGAAACTAGTTCAGACTTGTTCGATATCATTTTGGGACAAATACACGACTCTTTTCTGAACCACTTCAGTACAATTTTTGTGCTAGTTCGGAATCATTTTGCGGTAGTTCGAAACTAGTCACAAAATTATCCTGAAATAGTAATGAACTATACCAAATTTCATGAGTACCTGGTATTCACTCCTTTTTTTTTGAATTTGTATTGCACTTTTTACTCTTTTCCCCTGGCGCTGGATCAAATCATTAAAAGATGCCATACCTATTTATAAATAAAATATTTGGATAATAAAAAAAATTAAAAATAGAGTCAACAGATCTAAGCATAGAAGCCATAAAAGGTTACGCCATGGTGGCGCTCGCATTTCTCCCCGCCTATTGTATAAACTATTCATAATGAATACAAATAAGATTAGAATATTTTTTAGCAATGCGCACTTTAAGTTTATATTAAACTAAAAATTTAAAACTAATAATGATAATAATATTTAATAAAAATTAAATATATTGAAAGTATTAACTAATAACAAAAAAAAAACTTTACATTAAGGTACAAATTAAGTAAAACAAAAATATATGAATTTTTGGAAAAAACAGTGAATGAAAAATTCAAAGTAAATATGTAAGGTAGCAGAGAAGAAACAATGATCTTAAATACAAAAAAAAAACAAAAAAATAATAATACGAACCCCAAAGTATTTCACATCCACTCGTAAGCGTCTCATTGCTTTAGCATACCTTAAGGCGCCATAGCTTTTATATGTATGTATTGTTGGCTACTTATTGTATACTACTTCCAAAAAATAATATATTTACATACACAAATACATGCATATGCATATACATAAAAACAAACAGCATATGAAAGCATCTGCGTACATTAATGAAAATTTAAGCAAAATAAGTATACATACTTTCATACATAGATACACATGCATATATATTTACGAGTATTTACTTATGTACGATTAGCATACGCAAGAGACAAAGGAAAAGAGAAATATGTATGTATTTATAAATGGCTGCTTTTAAATGTTAATACGCATAGTAAATAAAACTAATCGCATCACAACTACAATTAAATTAAAGATAAACTATTTACGCCAATTAGCATTATCAGTTCAATGACTTGCATTTTTTTTTTTTTATTTACTACATACATACATACATAAATGCGTGCAAACGTGCATACTTACACATTAGTGTGGTCCTAAAAAATATCAATATCAAAATTTTTTATGGCGCACACTTTTATTTTGTTCTACGTACAAAACTTCATTTTCAGTAGCCGCCATCAGGCTGTGAAAAAATTTAAATCTGTTAAAGTCAAGTTGAGAATTATTCATAGAAATTCATAGTCATCACCAAATCCATGCAATATGCAGCTCCAAAGACTGTAAATTCATTATGTGTTTTCGGAATAAATGCAGAATTTTTCAGAGTTTTATTACGCTGGTTTACAAATAATTATCCTGAAAAAATACCAAGAAACTTGTGAACTTGTGTGTGAAACGGTGCCGCATACAATATTTAGATGTTGCTATTTTTAAGGACCACCCTAATACACATGTATGTATGCTATATTAAATTTTAGGTACATACATATATACATACATAGAAAATAAGCACAAAGCATAAAAAATTCTCATAAACTAACACCAGAGATGTGGTAAAATATTGTATTTATATTTTCAGTATGTGTGTGTGTGTGTGTGTATGTTGATCATAGCTTTCATACATAATAATATTTTGTTAACATTGCATACATACATAAGTAGTAAGCTTTTAGGCGTCATTAGAATGATTAAGCTAATTATTAATTATAACATAATTCAAAATACAATAAAATTATCAGCCGAAAAAAAAACTTTATTACTACATATATACAGATAAAATGCAGAAGGGCTATCAGCCAGCACCAATATCATAATTTAAAAGTGCAGCGACAAAACCAAAAAAAAAAGTTGGCTTATTTAAAAAATTACTAGAAATACATGACAAACAATTTTTATTTTACTTTTAGAAAATAACACAAAAATCATTTGTTTTTTTGCGCAATAAAATAAATTAAAAAATTATTTTTATACAACTACATACATACATACATAAATATTTTTTTAGTCTAAATCAGTTGGTTGTCACTTTTTTCTCCAGCTCTCAGTTGAACTTCGAGCAAATAGCATGGCATTGTTTGAGCAGAGCACAGATATGTAAGTTCGACGAGCTCAAAAGCGTACGACTGCTTAGATATGTATGTATACTGAATTTTCATATTTGATGTCTAAAAAAAAAATCTGCATAAAGACTAACTAATGCGAATACTGTAATGTAAACACACCTTTTCCAAAAAACATTGTGGTATCAATAAACTTACTATGAATATGAATTCAATTACGATGTTGTTTTATTGGTTACTATTTAGCTTCTTTTCGCAGCCCCATCCGTTTTATAAATGGTTGAACGTTATGATTGTCAAATGTTGCAGCTGCACCTCAATCTGTTGTACCGAATGCTGGAGAATTAGGCTAACCATTTTGATGCTCTTCCTCGGATGATTATCTTAATCGAGCCAGTCTATTTAGGAGGAGGAAAACTTTCTTTCATTTCTCTCCTTCGACAGCCGCACTGTAATATGTATTTAATTTAACCCCTAAATATATTAAACTGGAACATTTAAACTTGTGGCAACCTTTTCAAAAATATTTTATAAATAAACCTTCGAAAGTTTTTTAGAAAGAAAGCTTACATTTTAATGTCTCTCGTTTGACACCCATATTGACATATTTCATTGAACTTCATCACATAAATTGATTTATTTTGAATTTTTAAATAGTTGGCAACCCTGTGCAAAAATATTTTCGAAATGAAGCTTTCTTTACTTTAATACCCATATTAAAAAAAAATATTTCGATTAACTTATTCATTAGATTTGTTTTGAATTTCTAAACAGAGGGCAAACCTCTTAAAATATATTTTTGAAATAAACTTTTCTTATACCTCTCTTGTTTGACAGCCATATTAAAATATTTCCTTTGACTTTTGTAATTAAATTCATATTTAATTTTTAACCAGGTGGCAACATTCGTTAAAAATATTTCCGAAATAGAGCTTTCTTAAACCTTATTTGATGCCCATATAAAATATTTAATTTAAATCGTTATTTAAATGGATTTTCACTCTCTTAACAGGTGGCACCCCCCTCAGCCATTTGCAATAAAGCTTTCTTTAACCTCTCTCGTAACTAGATTTGTTTTGAACCTTCAAATGAACTCTGTTGTAAAAAGAATTCATTTAACTAGTTAATTAAATTGATTTTAACTTTTTGAGCAGGTGGCAACCGTCTTTAGCATTGTTTCGAAATAGATTGTTTTATAACCTCTTTCGTTTGACACCCACATGGTTGTTATATTTTGTTTAACCTATTAATTAATTAATTTCAACTTTTGAAAAAGGTGGTAACTCTCTTCAAAAATATCCATTCGTTAATCCAGGACATAACAAACCTATCTGTGCGCCAAATTTCATTTAAATACTCACTCGCACTTTTTCACATTTATAATATTAGCAGGATTAGTAGGATCCAGTTAGGTTAAGTTAGGTCCTGCTGACTCGCCAACTCAACCTAGTTTGTAAGCACACGCTGCTACCAAGCCCCGGTCCCCGTCAACAGTCATATCAAAAGTCTCGAGTATGCTCTTCCTATTGCTTAGTTGCAAGAAATCTGTAAGTTTTCCATGTAGACTTTGAAATCATACAACCCATATGCCTGGCGGTTACATAAGAAGTTCGTGAGATCGTTTGACTTTCTATAGAGGAATCGGTTAATCCGTGGTTTGTCAGGCATCAAGAAGTATGCCCCTTTCGGCTAGCTCGGCAACTTTTTCTTTACCGTCAACACCATTGTGTCCTGAGACCTAATGCAGTTGGATAGTTTTTGCCACGGCTAATTTCCTATCGCCTTCTTTCGAAATACAGCTGCGGGATAAAATATTTTATAAATTTTATATAAATTTGGCTAAATTGTACGACTAGACTACATTGACATTGCCAACTGTCGTGCTGGTATAAATAAACGACGAAAGTCGTCGAAAACTGTGCAGTGCTGCCAAGTTTTTCGGTTTTAATACACTCGAATCCAAATTTTAGGCAATGACATGAAATTCTGGATACGATTAGACTCTCGAAAAACGACTTGCATTCGACACGACTCTCGCAATGAGGCTGATTATATTCGATATATTCAGGATCACGCTATACTACTGTGACCATACGTTACAAAGGATAAAGTCTCGCGGAAGTTGTAAAGACTATATGAATTCATGACTAACATTTTACGAAGGGTCGCTATCGATGTCACTGAAAGCCTATAAACGCTCTCTAATCTTTTTAGGAAAGAAAGAAGCCGTGAATATCCTATGTGAAAGAGCAGTCGAAAGGCCCCAAGTAGCGCCCAACATACTTTTAAATTTGTACAGTTCCGCTGATATCGCATTTGCTCGCTGTTCCGCATTTGATCCCCGCTTCGAATTACTGTCCAATACGATTCCAAGGTACTTTGCGCATGTGTCCGATTCGCTTCAAACCCGAGATATAACGATTTGAAAAAGTACATAATTAGTCAGAATCACGAAAAAATGCAAACTTTGACAGATCATATCTCCGAAGAAGAGTAAAATTCCTCGAAGACGTGTTAGCTTATTTCATGTATAGAACTCATAAAAAGAAAAATTTGAATCCAATCGAAAGTGTGACACCAAGTTTTGTGTCCGATATGAAAAAGAAAGTCTCATATATGGGGCAATTCACGTCAAATGTCCCAAGCGCGCTGAACGGTGCAAAGCAAGCTACTTTTCGATTAGCTAGGAAGCAGATAAAAAATTGGAAAAATAATTCGAAAACTATGATTTCTATAGATCCTCTAAGATTGATATATTCTAGAAAATTATTCTTTGGTAAATTTTACTAGGAATTTTCTTCATGCTTCATGATTCATGTGACCAACATAAACGTCTCTAAAAAAATTTAAATAAAAAATCAACAAAAAAAAACTTTGTTTTTTTCCACAAAAAAAAAAAATACAATTGAGCTTGCCTGTTAATCCTTGGCATAGATTTTTTGTTTTAATTATATAGAGACTTTCACGTTGGTGGCATGAAGTTTTTGCCTTAGAAGACCCCTAGCAAAATTTGCCGAAAAATCATTTTCTATAATATATCAATCCTCTAACGCTTTTTGCGGACTTTCTTGAAGTAAGGCTCAAATCGACTCTTTCAGCCGGGAGCTAATAGGTTAAAATGTTCTACGAAAATATTTCCCATGCAATTTTACTATGTATGTTTTAACCGTTATTTTCGATCAGACATTTATTTACTTTGACCTTTTTTCGGCTTTTTTGAAAACAACTTATGTCGAGACATGAAAACTCTAGAAGGCCATAAAATAAAAATACGAGCTAACTTTTGCCAATCCATCGAGTGTTTTATTACTGGATATGTATACTCTCAGAAGATATTAGCAAAGTGCGGGCTGGTTTGAATTGTCATAAAATTGTCGCACAGTGTTATTGGGTTAGGTGGTTTTATATTTTACTCAGTTTTCAACCACTTTAGAATAACAACTTTCAACCAGGTAAACAAATAGCCCGGAGGGTGTGAATACCCTAACTGATATTTTACCTAAGAAATATATAAAAACTATCTGGGGACTCGCGTTTTGCACGGCTTAAATAAAAAAAAAAAATCTACTAAATTTATCACCCTACTAATTAATCCCCATCGTATAAGTACAGGGTTAGCCATTTAAAAAACACAAACTGGAAATGTAAATTTCCGTGAGATTTTTATTAATTAAATAATTATGTTTGGACTAAATACTACTTTACTTTTCCAAGCGCGAAATGAATAACCCTGATGACTGATGCACATAATCCTTTGTACAATGCATTTATATGTATGTATGTGAGCAAGTGTGCATAAGTATGTAGTATAAATAATTATATTTATTGCGTTAGTGAGAATGATTTACATTCTAATTACCGTCAACCTTTGCACATACTTACATGCATATGTAGGTATGTATGTACATATACAAATGCACAAATGTTTCCTAATGTGCAAAATATTTCAGTTTGCTCTTTAACAACACATTTAGAGGAAAATTTAAATTGTGTCATTAAAGGTGTTATTATAATTGCAGGCATAAATAAATGCATACATTTGCACATAAGTTCAAGTATACATATGCAAAACGTCCACAGGTGTTAACCAAAGAAAATGTGAAATTATGCGTGAGGAAAAATGCACAAAAAACATACATTTTTTTATAAGTACAAAAAATAAATGATTAATAAAATGCATATGTTTTCACGCCAAAGGAATTCTTTCTAGGTGCAAATTTAATTTATTTCATTTAAATCTCTACATTTGCATAAATGACAATGGATCTCCATATTTAAATATAATTAAGTACTAACAACCAATTTAAAATTTTTTTTCCAGTGAAAAAATTCCGTTAGAACACATATTAAAAAAAAAAACAAATACTCTTTATTATTTATTTATTGCCGGTATCATAGCACATAAGCAATTTGCATGTTTTTAATTAAAAATGAGTTTTGTAAATAAATAACTTAATAATGGGAAAAGCGAAAGTTCAACTGTATTTTCGCTCTATATTAATTTATACGAATTAAATCGGGATTTGGGTACTTATTTATTGGTGAGAACAGTCAAGGGCCGATTATCGGGAACTTTTTCACCCGGGCCCGGAGTTCTCAAGGGGGGCCCGTACTCAGACTCCAGAGTATATTTTATAAGACGTTGATAAATCGCAAATCACAAAACAAGTTAAATATTATTTAATTTCGTTCAATTTATAAGATCAGTTGAACTCTTTGAAATCATCCACTTTTTTTTAGCCTTCCTTCCTACGGGCGCAAAACTGTGAGAAAGGATATGATTTTTTGGAAAAATAATAGTGTTGGAATGCTTTCAATTTTGTGGTAGTTCCCTAAAATGGGGAAAGAAGACGTCCAGACTGCAGCACTTTCCTTTGCAAAAAAAAAATCCTGCTGATATGTCCGAAGAGATTTCAAATGAAATGATGCACTTGAAAACTAGGCCAAATTTTGCTGAAAATTCTAAGGATTGCATACCTCCATTTGACCTCTTAAATGCCACCACAGCTAAAATTTTAGACACACTGTTCCCAAACACCTGTATCGCTTTGCGAATGCTCTCCACATTGCCAGTGTTTAGGGGCCCACATTCAAGATTCCTCCGGGCCCAAAATTACTCTACGGCCCTGAATAGGACAAATCCGAAGCTAAGGTGGACGAACTAGAGGATCGTCTCCGAGATTTGCAGTTGATTCCTTCAGCCACTTCGACCAACGTTCCTATTGGTAAAAACTCCATCCTTTGGCGGCACAATTTCTTTCCAGCTCTTTAAGCTTCAGTTCGAGAATAAGGCTAAAGCAAACCATTAAAGCTCTTCGGTGCATTAAAAGGACCTGCAGCGACAATTCCTGATGGTGAAAGGAAAAATTACTATGCGTTGAAGGGTACCATGGAAAGACGTTATGGTAGCGAGCACAGGAGTCGGATTTACCAGATGAAGCTGGAGAATCGCTACCAAAAGGCGAACAAGACTCTAGGGGATTACTGGGGCTTCACATTTCATTATTCGACCGGATTTGGCCACTTGGTATGTGAAACCGAAGTTACGGACTGCAACTGGTGACTGCACCCAAGTTTTAGAAGAAATGCCATGCGACAAGTTTATAATGGCACACATCGTGGAAAAAGTCATCATCGGCGTGGACCTCCTACTCGGTCTGGGCATGAAGTTTGACCTGCAAAGAAAAATCCCGAGATATCACTATAGGGAAGTGCCACTTAGGATTGGTTACGACAATCAGTACTGCAGCAGACGGTTGCTCTTAGAGGAAGTCCCGCAGATTCGACCAACAAAAGAATTGTTGAGTTGAGCAAAGGTTGGCAGTGATGGAGATGGAGTTGTTTCGGCCGGAGATGGAAGCTGTTCAGCGCTCCGACGATCCTGAGAAAAAGAGGAAGTCACCACAAGGAATTGGTCATGTCAAGCCTGTTATATGTTCAATAGGCAGGTATTTTTGGCAGGAGGAAGCAGTGATTGCGCTTCGAAGTATATAGGATAAGGTCGTGGTCGGCAGATAATGCAAAGGCAAGCAGTAAGTCCTGAGCCCCAGTTTGAGGTTTATACTGTCCGGTCAATGAAGGGACGTTTCAGCGTGAGGATCCGGAACTAGCAGTTGTGATGCGATGATTGGAGCTGAGGAGGCGTTCGACCAGGGAGGAAGAGTCAGTGGAAAGCCCCATCGCAAAGGCATACTGGGCATCCGGAATCTAATGGTTGCTCCGAAGGAAAGAGTTTATGACGTTCTCAGACAGGGGTGCGAAAGTAGAGCCACTAGGAATCAAGAAAACGCTAGAGAGGATTAAGAAAATATTCTATCGAGTCTGCCTCCGTCAGTTAGTAAAAGAGTGCGTAGCAAGATGTGCTAAGTGCTTTGCAGCCAGAAGAAGTGGCAGAACTCCGGCGGATACCCATAGGAAGAGCCATAATCAGGTCACCACCAGAGGCCGACATAAGCAGAACCATGTGAGATGGTGCACTCCAAGCGATAATTCGGAAACAATTTCCGGTAACGCATCGAACCAAGAGGGTTTCCCGTTGAAACCGAGAAACAAGATAAAGGTCGTCCACCTGGAAAGGCTTGTAGCGTTTGGAACAGCTAGTGATGTCCCGATCAGACTTAGGTGGAGGACAGTGTGCTGCATATATTAAGAATTAAACCAGCTGATAGTCAAACGATGGGACTTGATCATCTTTTCGCTTCGCGCTGCAGCTAATGGGCTGTTTTTGCTCACGCATAAAAGCACATTTAGCGCATTTAGCTCTAAATGCTACTCTAAATGTACATTCATCCATACAAAACTCGTCACCTAAATGCAACTCCATTTCTGCATTAAGAGACTAAATGCTAAAAGCAACCCTGTGATCTTCAAAAATGTCCACGATTCGAACATGGTTTAATGAGAAAAAGTGGCACCATTGCTTTTCCGCGTATACCATGAACGAAAGACACAATTTCACTCCTTCCCGAAAGAAAGAAAAAAGTTATTTTCTAGCTGTTGAAATCTCGACGCCATCTTTGTTGTAAGAAGTAAACAACGAAGAGAACAAAAAAAAAACCGCGTAATTGTTGAACGCATGAATAATCATTTTTATTATGCAAATTCTTCTATAAATCATGTCGTTGTGTTAAATTATTCTTTACCTTATGTGTGCACACGTTGTCACAAGCGAAAATTAAGAAAATTGCAGTAAAAAGCCAGCACCAAATTGTAAACAACGAACAAATGTAAACAAACGGCTAATGTCAAAGTCGCCCAACTCTTTTCCTAGATGGGATTATAACGGGCTTCTAAGAAGAAGACGTTATCTTGTATTTTTGGTTCATGGCGTATACAGTTGCTAGCTGCGTTTCAGCGATCGCCGATCAAGATTTTATTTATTATTTTACATTATTTGGAAAAAGAAAGGTTGCGCAAATTCAACATCGCTGTGATACTGATAGAAATCTGGCTAAATTTTTGATCAACTCTGTTTGTTTTTTCCCCATTTAATTGAGGAAATTTCAATTGACAGCACCGACAAATGAATATATACACAAACAAATTTTTGGTTATGGTTGAACAATTGAAGTTTTTGTATTGAATTCTTTGTTTAAAATTTCTTTTTCCTTTTTCAGTAGAGTTTTTTGCACATTATCTTGTCTGTGCGAATTGATCGTGATAGATACGGATCTTAATAAGCGGCTGGAACAGGGCTGTTTGTCAAAAGTATACGATTTAGAATTCGCGTAAATGTACATTTGGTAAATGCGATAGCATGAACGCTCTTCGAAAATATATGTTCGAAAGTGCTAAATGTTACATTTTAAATGCAGCAAAAACGCTGCATAAAATAAGTTTTGCGGCACGCTTCGTGCATTTTCATATATTTCATCTCATCTGTTAAAGCAAAGAACGTAAATAGGTAACGTTATAGATATACGTTCTTTGCTACGTTACTATTATGATGCGTTCGAAACTTGCTGTAATATTATTGTAAGATTTGCAACCCTGTGTTAGATTTTGCCATTCCTTCATTCTGGTCACTTTCTGAATTTGACAGCTATCGTTTGTGAAAAAATGCCAACTGGCGAAGGATCGCTGCGTTTGCGCTGTTTATTGTTTAAAAATTAATAAAATTCAAACAAACGGAGCCGCTAATATATTTAGTGCATATGAAAGCCGGAAAATCATAGTTATTTAAGTGTTTAAACGTGTGGTGGAATGCAAGAAATAGATGTAGCTGGAACCGGAATGCAAGACGCTAAATGAAAAAGTGAAAGAATTTTCCAATTGTGTATGCATTTTTTCCTAAAAAATTCAAGCTCATTTCGATATAAATACTTGGTTAACTAATTGCCTACGTTATAATATTAAGCCCGCTGATTGCATTTGTGTTTAAACATGTCCGAGCAATGTTTTCAACAAAAGGAATTTTGTAACCGATCCCCGAACTCTTCAATTGGTAATTTGACATTTTTTTCCCAATGAAAACTGAACAGGTTTGTGCATTTGTGCGATCGGTTGGAAACAGCCACGGCCAATACAAATAAAAGCATAAAAACTGTGAGGGCAGTTGCTATTACTGCTACTACATCATAGCACGAAGAGTTATTAAAATCACATATGCATGTACACTTGCTTGCAAACATATAGTGGACAGGCATACTGCAGAAACATCAAGTGGGTTGGCAGTAGCAGACAAAGTGGTAAGCGGTGGCAGAGCAGAAGTAATAAACTTGATTTTTACCTGTCTCCCAACGCCGCTTGGTCCATATCAGAAGAGCTAATTACGTACATACGTACATCCAATCAAGCGCTAGACAAACTGTAAGATACGTTTTTATTGAATTGATATGCTTGTTGCTCCTACGTTTGATAAAGTATTTACGCCGGCGCATCGATAACCAATCATAATAAAAACCAATTTACGAACACAAGTTTTGGTGCTGTCGTTGAAACGCTCCCAGATTCGGGAGAATACAGGTTAGTAATTTTAATAACTTTTCTCTAACAAGTTATTGCAATAATTAATAACAACGTTTTTCTTCAGTGTAACGCATTAATTATGCATCACCATCATCCACTCTCGCCCGCACAACCTGCCACTGGTACGCCTTCGGCCAGCAGCAATACAACAGCATCAGCACTGCCTAGCAATAATGCTATTGCTAGTGTCGGTGCAGTCAATGGAGCCAGTACCAGTACAGGCACATCACATGTACAACAGCGACGTCGTAAGAAGCGCCCGAACTATGGCACACGCACTGTAGAAGTGCGACGCGGTTATAATGGATTCGGTTTTACCATATCTGGTCAGCAACCCTGCCGGCTTTCATGTATAGTTGCCAATTCACCGGCAGACCAGGCTGGGCTGCGTGCTGGCGATTTTCTAATTTCCGTTAATGGTTTAAACGTTTCCAAGCTACCGCACGAAACAGTTGTGCAATTGATTGGCAACTCATTTGGCAGTATACGTATGCAAATCGCCGAGAACTATTACTCGGATAGTTCGGATGAAGAGAATGCAGCGTTGATGTTGCAACAGCAATCATCTGCGACTGGAATGAATGGCGTACTCTCCAGTCAGTTGGGTTTAGGTGTGAGTGGCGCACGCGCAAAACCTCGTTATCTACACCACAAGGCCAAGATGCATCGATTACGGAATTCGCCTCAAAAGAAGCGCACAGTTACCTTACAACAACAGCAGCAGTTGGCACGCGCCGAACAGCTGTCAAAGAGTGTATCCGCGCTCAAGCCGATGGAACTGCAGAAGCTACGGCCGCTTATTGAAGATTTACCGCTACCCGCAGGTGGTTCGCCGTATGTAATGCCCAATAGTAGTGCACCAAAATTGCCCACAGCTGCAGTTGCTACCTCCGACAGCGCTGTCGCTGACTTGGCAAATGTTAATGCCATGGCGCGTGCACCAGCCGCTGCGTTAGAGTATCGCGCTATTGTTGGTTATCTGGGCACTATCGAAATGCCAAAACAAATTTCGCATAGCTCAAAATTACAAACTGTACGCTCATGCATACGTAAACTACGTCAAGAAAAGCGCCAGCC